CAGCAAAGGGCATCGTGTGGAAGGTGGTTCCTAGGTATCTCTCAAGGGGCTCACCGTATGGTGGATGCGCTACGACGCAGAGGCGTTTCTGACCGGTCGTCCGGGTCTACTGTAAGGCTGGTGTCAGAGTCCGCGATCCGTCGCAGGTTTCGCTGATTTTCGCGATTTGCGCGATTCACGCGATTCACGCGACGGGTCACGGAAATCACAAGTGCCCGATCAATACTGCAAGGTGTTCTCCAATCCTGCCGCCACTTCTGCTTGATAGTGATGGCTGAATGACGACTGCTCATGATTCCACTTGTTTCATATTCAGTGTTTCAAATGTTCAAATGGGGCACTTGCAATTTTTGCGATCCGTCGCAGGTTTCGCGCAAATCGCGAAAATCAGCGAAACCTGCGACGGATCGCGGACTCTGACACCAGCCTAAGTATTTAGCGTCAAATCCATGCAGCAGCAACTGATAATGTCCTTCATCTTTCATTTCACGGCGCGAAATTAAAAATCTGCATTTTGTTAGTTTGTGGCTTTTTTTTCATAGAATCGAGCAGAAAGATCTTTGGTGCTTCGCTACTGCTGAAATACTAACAAAGTTCAACCTAATTGAGACATTTTCGGTCAAACTTGGCATAAGTGGACTTAATTCGAGGAAACAAACATTTTTTTCTTGCGGGATTTGACCCTGCGAGCCATTCAAGAGCAAGACAGCGCCTCTAGCCACTGTACCGAATCCGTTCCTTTTTTGAATTCGGTAATTTCAGATTATATATGCAAGGCGTTGATCTCTCCACCAGCGACTACGATCGTCGTACCCCGCTACATGTGGGCATCAGAATAGTGAATGGCTGATCTCAACATGTTATGCTGAAGTTGCTGGGTCAACGTTGCCAAGTGGTATGTGGACGCCGTGACGAGTGCTGACTCTATGCTTTTGAAGGACAACATTTGGGCAAGATTATTTTGGAGTCCTTGAAGAGTCATCCATATTAATGGAATGAATTAAGGACCTAGACCGTGTACTACGCCCTCAAGTGATTTAAATACACTGCGTTTCATAATTATAGGTCCACCCTAAATTTTTGCTACCCCAAAGTTGCTGTGCATTTTTTGGAAATGCTGCTATCACCGTTAGATTCCTCATCACGGAAAACCTTCATAGTGTTTTTCTGACAAATTCCCCCCTCAAGTAACCCAATTAACTTTTTTAGAACGAATTTTCACCGTTTCATGAATATCGGGCCACTCATAAAAAGTTTCCATTTCTCACGATCCGTGAAGGGAATCAGGGAAGCGGGGAAATATGTGGGCTCAGTCGACATCGAGTTTACCATACCTCGTGTTATTCGCCTCTCTTCCCAGTAACAAGCTCAAGCTAGAGCACTTACTGAAGTGGGATAGCTGAGGAGCAGAATTTCCTCCCATGTCGGCCGGCTCATACTGCATAAGCGACTATGTGCAAAATCCTGGTCAGTGCGGAGAGAAGAGTCGCTTAGGTAAATAAAGACTGCGTTTCCTTCAAAATTTAGGAGGAATTGGGTGTCTTCTCTCGAATTATACAAGGAGTCCGAACAAAGTCCGTACTGAAATGCGGCCTTCCGTGAGCAAAACCACCGTGTGGTGAGTAAGCCAGCAGAGCAATAACATCTTCAACGGATTGATGAAGAGCGTTCCAAGATTATTTGAGCGCTACAAGATCGCAAGTCTCCATTTCTCCGTGGAAAAGGGCTCAACTTAATGAGCGATGGTGTGGCTGTTAAGACCCTTCGCGATCTTGGACTCTACCTCCTTGTTTCGTTCTACAGGTGGTCTGAGATCGACGTGGAAAAGTTTATTCTAGGTGGATATGGCAGAAAAAGAGGGTACAGGATGATCGCGTGAAAATCGCAGATGGTTTCAATGTAACGTAATTTCGGCGGTGAATCCCTTATGGTTTGAGGCACCTTTGAACGACTGAGTAGCTAGAGCTCGCTTTTGTTTCCGTTCACAAAGATTCCACAGGGTATCGTGAAGTTCTTTCGAAGCGAGTCTTACCATTTTTTCAACAAGGATCCCCTCTATCCTTGATTTTCACACACGATAACGCGGCTGTCCATGCCGGTCCCTCCGCGCCAGATGGAATTGCAGGAAAAAATGTGGCAGTTATCTGGTGGCCACCATGTTATCTGAATTAGATTCCAATAGAGAATCATTGGGCCTTAATTGTTATAAAGTTCCACAGCAAAGTAAAGCAAAATGGAACAGCCGAAAAGCTGAAAAGGTCGATCATCGGCGCCCAGACGAATTTCGATCCTACTGTAATAGCTAATTTGGCTACCAGCATTTCAAAACGTATTATTGTGTTCCTTATGATTATTGGGGGGTCATCCCATTATTGAAAATTCGTGACGTTTTTTCGTTATAGTAAAATCTCTCGACAAGTGATGTGTAGTCATATTTGCGAAACGGTGAAAATACGTTCTAAGGAAGATATTTTAATAATTCTGAATCGAGATTTCTCCAGAAATCAAGTATCAAGGTTTTTCGTTATGGGGAAACTATTGGTAATAGCGGCATTTTCCAAAAATGCACAGCAACTTTGGAATAGCAAAAAATTAGGGTGGACCTATATTTATGAAACGCAGTGTATTATACTACACACCTAAATCCGCCCTTGGTGCTCCTCCGCTGACCAGATTGTTGAAAATCGGGTCCAATTTGCTCCATTACTCAATTATAGCTCTGGAACTCTCCTTCTGTATTGACTTTAGGGACGTTCGCCGATCAATCTAACTTTTTGAATACCTCTTTATGATCATGAGGTCGAGATTCAACTAGTATACGGTCAGATCAATCTACTCCGTTCTGTAGTTTCACCAGAGCCCATTTTTCCCGCGATCTGGTTGCTTCACGGACAGTTACATCCTCTGCTCTTTCTTCCTATTTCTTCAAAAAAAAAAAATATCATCCGCTTTGCCGGAGCCACTTTTTCGGTACAACACTCTTGTCCGATTATTGATAGCGCAACGCCAATCCTTCTCCATTTACCTATCATTAGTTTTGAAGGACTTGGCCTTATAATTTTTTGACCAATTTTTTGGGTGCCCAACAAGAGGTCCATCACGCGCCGAGAAGGCGGAGACGCAGACAGGTCAACAGACGAGTCCCAGCGCGTACTGTGCGATTAGCGTCAAGCTGAATAGATTGTGCGGTGCATACGACTCAGGTATCGCACACACGCGCACGGGCGCTGACACGCGCTGCGACTCGTCCTGCTGACTCGCCGCGCGACCGGCTTTCTGTCGGGTACCCAATTTTTTCCAATTTTTTTGCAAAAAGCGCTATGATGTCATTCTTCTTATTCCAGATGGAACCGTTCCCCTTTGGACGATGCTCGATTCTTCAAGCACGAAGCCTGTGTAGAATTCTTGGAACGTGCCTTAGCCAGGGTAAACTTTCTAGTAATTTCCTTCCATGGTAAATTCCGCTCAGAATATTTCATATGACTGATTGATCACACTGATTCCAGCCAGAAGCTCGACGTGCTCAGTCAGTCTCTTCTGCAGATTCTGAATCAGAGGATAATCCGTTCGAAGTCGGGCATCGACCTCTCTTCAGCTTGGACATCTCATCTGAGCAGCAGTGATGAGCACTTCACTTACCAATCTCAAAAATCTCCCTCACCTCATAGCTAATAAAATATTTTACGTCCAAAAAAGGTTGCAGGCACATGACGAACTGAATTTCTTGAAAGGCCACGTGTTTCTTGTTACCCCAACCTCAACCACCATGTGCGCCCTGGATCACAGCTGTCAAACTCCTCCCCGTCCCCTCCCATTTTTTTGAATCACCTCTCATGTCACCTCTCTTTTGAACATCTCGGGGACAGGGTGGCTCTGTACCGTATGGGAATATGTCGAGAGTGAATGTACGCGCGGAGAGCACAGACGGCTCGCGCGTGGCGAGAGTGAATGTCCGCGCGGGAGAGCGTGACTGAACAGGCAAAAATCCTCGACGAGCGTTGAAAAATCCTCGACCGATTTTCACCCCGCGTGAGGATGCATGCACAACAAGCCTTCACGATGTGCTGAACACCTATCAAATCCATCAGAACCACTATGTGCAAGCTCCGCCCCTTCCATCGACCCTTGATCATCTCAACGAATCCTCTTTTTTGCTCGACCTCATATACAAGATGAAAAATCTACTTTCTAGTTCTCAAAAATGCAGATAATTTATGAGATCGCGGGTTCATTATGCTATGGCAAGACTATCACAACACCGAGTAGACAAATAAATAATGAATACACATTCTAAGACAAATCCTCTGGAAAAAGCCTTGTGACAAGCAGATCCACCAACAGATAGGAGAGATGTTTGTTGAGTCGAGGATACTGCAGGGTGTTCACCAACCTTTTCACTCCACCACGCCAACTTTTCGAGTCAAGTACTCGTAGCACGCACGACGGCATCTGGAAAAAATGCAGTATTTTTGCTCCCGGCGGCAGCTCTTCAAAATTATCTTACTTCTTTTCTTATTTTATAAATTACTGTCATTTTTAACTAGTTATTATGTAACCAGTTATTATTAATTATTATCACTTATTCTTAATTATAATTTTCTTATTTTCACTTCATCCCGAAGACACTTTTCTAAGAAATAAACAAAAATAAACAGCTACCCTCTATTTCGGAAAACGAGAAGAGCGTCGAGTGCAGACCACACACCACAAGTGACGACGGCCAAGAAAAAAAAAGCTTTTTTCTTGGCCGTCGTCACTTGTGGTGTGTGGTCTGCACTCGACGCTCTTTCGTCTTCCGAAATAGAGGGTACATAACTGCATACATTGTTGCGTAATGCTTGCTGCTACCACCACTGCTTGATCGGCTTACGTATTAGCCGTGATGCTACGCGACCGCACGCGTCC